CATAAACAAAACAGCCACGTGTTTGTGCACCTACACCTGAAACTGAGTTATGTCATTGTGTACTGACGAAGTTTCACCACTGGAGGTCAGCAGAAACAAGCGTGTTACTCTTTAAAAACCTAGTACAAGTACAAAACATTGCACTTAAGTACTTACATAATTTAATTTAGTTATATTCCACCGCTGATGTATGTATGCATGCATGTATCTGTGTGTGTGTGTGTGTGTGTGTGTGTGTGTGTGTGTGTGTGTTTTATATGCATTAAATATCTCAAGGTAATGTAAAATCTGTGTTACATTACTACTTTTACAGAAACTGATCTTGAGTCTGCAGTCTGATGTCCACATGGGACGCAAAGATGATGACAGATTAAAGGAAAAGCCAGAATTATTGAGTTGAATTTAACATATTACAGTGTTTGATGAAAATGATGTGACTTTAAATGAGAGAAAGCCATTTGAAGAAATGTTGTCGATCCCTCCAGAAGAACTTGGATAATCTTAAACAAGAATTAGATCACAACACCTTAAGGAGACACTGTCACCTATATGTCGATAAACATAAAAATGAGACTGGATATAATCTATTACCGCCTTATTGTGAGAAAGTATTTCTGATCCAGTAGCAGCTTATATCTTGCACTATCCCACCTCCCCACAAGGTGTCAGTGCCTTCAAACTGAAGCTGCACAGGTCAGCGGTGAACAGGTATTGCATGTGTGTTTATGAAGATGTATGAGGAGCAAAACCACTGAAATGTTTTTGTTTGTTCAGTTTATTTTTAGCCTGAATTGAAGGTTTCTTCAAAGTAGCTCAGCGTCCTAAAACTTCACCCTCATATTTTATGTTTTTTTTCTCTCTTATTAACTCATTTATCACTCAGTGACCTTAATCTACAACGCTACGTCTTTTGGAGACATCACAGGGAATTAAAGTGCATCACTGCACGGATAGAAAGGTCTTGGAGCGCTGTGTTCTTCTTTTATTGACTGTTAATGAGAAAAAGTAACAAGTTCGCTTCAGGCCAAAGATGCCCCCCCCCTCCTCACCTCCTCTCTCACATGAAATCCAAAGTGAGCCTCCTGTGGCAAGCCCTGAATGTTTGTGTAACATCAGCACAACTTCTCACATTAAGCATTCATTCAGCCATTGTTAGGGATACAAACGTTGCTTTCTTTAATATTGAAGGGACTTTGTTTTTTGTTTACTTCAGATGACTCAAAGGCTTACAGCATAAATATTACATTTGGACTAAAGAAACACAGCGCATACTGTATGAAAGTAACTGGTGCTTCATGTGAGTATTTCTGCTTTATAGTACTTTATACAATACCTTTCAGAGAGAAATACTGTAAATCTAACTCCATTATATTCATTTGACAGTCATTACTTTGCAGATTCAGATTTTTACAAACAAATGCATAGATGTTATGTTATAGATGAAACTACCTAACAGCATATAACGTGGTTAAAATTAGCTCCATGCACCTACAATTTTAAAACGTTTCTTCCATGTTATATAAGTATTCAAATCCTTTACTTAAGTAAAAGTAGCAACACTGCAATATAAATATACTCCATTACAAGCAAAAGTCCTGTATTGAAAAGGTCATCGTGTTTGAAAAAATAGCTTCTGTCAGTGTAATACTCTTACTTAGTTACACTTATTTAGTGTTGGTATTGTAAGCTATAACTGTGCATCCTATTTTCTAAGATTATCATGGAGTTTTGTAACCAGTAACTACAGTTGTCATATAAATGTAATGGAGTAAAAAGTGAAATATCTCCCTCTGAAATGTAGAGAGAAGTACTGAAAGAAGCATAAAATGGAAATACTCAGAACCTCAAATTTGAGTAAATGAGGGGAAAAAGGAAATGTACACAATAGGAATATTAATAGTAATTAGTAAGTAATTAGCGTCTTTTCTTGAACAGTAATTCTCCTTTATGTTTTTAATAATACTAATGATGATGATCTGCTGAGTTTGTGTTGTGATCTGTCGTGGCTGAGTGGGGTTACAGAGGAACAGATGGGAGGTAGACTTCACTGAACCAGGCTGCTGTGCTGCAGCTGCTCAAAGTGTTGGTGCCTCCCTGGTGTTTTGGTTGATGAGGTGTAGTTTGTGTGTCCAAATGAGGAGCGTGTGTCGCAGACGCCCCCTGATACATTATTAATAGTTGTTAGACTCCGGGCACTGTTTCTCTGTTGAATTTCAGACATTCTCAGCCTTTTCTCCTACACTTGATCCAGAAGTCCCCTTCCGACACAGACTTGCTTTCTCTAACATACATCTTTATCTTTATTATTCATTTTTCTATTTACACGACTCCCTACAGCTGCTCGGTCTCCTCATTGTTCTCTTCCAGCACCATCGTCATCTCTGACTCGGTTGGTTGCACTAAAAGACTTTTATTCTCTCTACCACGAAAACCAAAGTATGCCAGCTGCTCATGAATGAGCAAAATACAGCAATTACCAGGTTTGGAAACAGAGACAGAGAGAGAGAGAGAGAGAGAGAGAGAGAGAGAGAGAGAGAGAGAGAGAGAGAGAGAGAGAGAGAGAGAAGGAGAGAGATTTATTTTATGTTACGGTAATGACCGTTTCTCTCTGGTGTTCATTTAGAAGAAGAGGATGAGACTGAGCTGAAACTCACTGTTTGCTCAGTAGCACAAATGAGACAAGAAGTGAAGTTTTAAAATGATTTGGCAGAGAGCGGAAAGAAAAACGGATTCCCTGATGATTTAGTAAAGCCTTAAAGCAAACTGCTGAGGTAGCTGCTAATAAGAGGACGGGGTTTGATGAGAAGATCGATACCACTCTCATATCTGTCCTTTAAATATGCAGCTGCAGCCAGTTAGCTTAACTTTGCACCAAGACTGAAAACGGGGAAACAGCCAAGGTCTGCCGCCAGCATCTGTAAAGCTCACTAATTAATATTATAGTTATATTTTGTTGGTTCAATCTGTGCAAAATCGACAATTTGTCTGGCAACCAGCAACCAGCAACCAGCAACCAGTGGAGATTCCAGGAAATGACTTAAGAGGTGCTGGTGGGTGTATTTTCTAACCTTTGGACAGAGACAGACTAGCTGTAGCCTTAAAGGACCAGTGTGTAGGATTTAGTGACATCTAGCAGTGGAGCTGTAGATTGCAGCCTCCCCTCCAAGCGTGTAGAAGACACTGTGAAAGCCGCTATCTAGAGCCAGTGGTTTGGTTTGTCTGTTCTGGGCTACTGTAGAAACACGGTGGTACAACATAGCGGACTCCATAGAAGAGGAACTGCTGCCAATATACAGTAGATAAAAACAGTTCATTCTTAGGTAACAAAAACACAACTGTTCTTATTATTACACACAAATGAAATCATACCTATGAATATTTTATTCCATATTCTGCCAATATATCTTCCAAAACCTCAAACACTCGACCTTTAATGGACAGATATGAGAGTGTATCGATTTAAAAAAAAAAAGTGTATTTCCCCAAATATCGAACTGTTGCTTTAAGATTCAAACTTTAGAAAAAAGCAACTTATCAAGGTAAAATGATCTCAAACCTCAAAAAAAAAAAGAAAAACCTTCTTGGATGTGAATGATCAAATTGCACTCATAAAAAGTGTAGCAGGTGTACTGTTTCTGTTTTCTTTTCACTGGATACTTCCACATCCAGTTTCTCCTTCCCCACCTCCTCCGAGACCCTCCGCACAACACACAAACAAATCAAATAATGCAGGGTTCAACGGGGTGTTAATTTCATCAAGTGGGTAAATTTATGGACACCATAAAGCTTGTGGCCTCCGGACGGCGGGGTACCAAAGATTCGCCGTAATGTTATCACAGCCATCTCGAAGGCATCTGAACGGCAGCAGAGGAGGCAGAAGAGGCCGGCACAGAGGCCATGAAGAGACTGAGCTTATCGGGTTTATGTGGGGCTAATTACAGTACTGGGAGACAGACTCACTTGTCAGGAGGGACGGTAATATCATTAACGTCGAGAAGAGGGGAGGAATGAGATGCGTGGGGTGAAGTGTGTGGCTGTGAGGGAGAAATTATGGCTGGATTGTATAAATGCCAGAAGGTAATGAAAAATGCAAGTGGGTGGCAGGAGATACAGTCCTTCTCAGGTGTCTGTGCTCCTCACTGGATCAGAATAGCCTAATTAGGATAAATTATTAATCAGGATTGTTTTTCTTCTCAGCGGTTTCACAGAGAAGACGTTCAGTATGAACAAACTGTTTCTCCACTGCAGAGGCAAAGCTGCGAAACAATGGACATCAGAAGTTGAACCAAAATGCATTATTTTAGTTGTAAAACACCAGAATGGACTCAAAATAAACGAATATCTGGATATTATCATCAGAACTAGAAATAAATAGTGATGGACTGGATAAAACTCAACCTTCACTTCAAAATCTAGAGTTACCAATAAATTCTAGAGATAAAGAGCAATGGTATCAAGAAGAAAAGAGTTTTATTATAAAGGCTAACACTTAAATAAATATTAATTCAAATACATTGTATGGTCTGTTTTTTGTTTTATTTTATCTTTAAATTTTTGGACATTTTCTGTTAAAGCTGAAATCTATATGAATATTGTACGAGTACAAGTAAATTATTTGAAGTTTTTGGTTTCTTGTGGGGTGCAATAAAGTAAAATAAATAATATGTAAAATAACACAAAATAAAACCAGTGGACTAAGGCTGAAAATGACAATTATTTTCAGTATCTATTAATCTATTATGTATCTGTATTAAGCAATTAATTGTTTCATATATAAAAGAATGTCCCCCGATTTTCGTAATATATATATATATGTATGTTTGTGTATATACATGTGTATATGTTTTTATTCACATATGACAACAAAAAAGATGGGAAACAATAAAAGTTTTGTATATTTCCTTTAAAAATGGCCAATGATAAATTATCTAAATAGTTGCAGATTAATTTTCAGACATGGATGATTTGATTAAACACAAAAGAAGAGATTAGACCAGATGTTTAAGAAAAATGCTTTTATTTTTTTTACACCTTTAAAAAGCAAATTTTTAAAGCACAAAGATTTACTCTGTATATAAACACCTCTCTCTTCCTTGGACTAAAAAATGGTAGCATTTGCACATTGTGCTTCGATTGCAAAGTCTGTACAACCGCTCTGGGTCTCCTGTGGTGTCACAACCCCAGTAAACATTTTATTGCATAAATCACATTTGACCTCAGTGGTCATGTGTTGAAGTCTTAAATGGATAGTGGAAAAATAGAAAAAGGAAAAAACCCACCAAAATGAGGAAAAAGAAGTTGTCATACCTGTAACACAGTGAACAATAATAGCAGCTTCCTTAACGAAGGCGTTGCACATTGTCCTGAAAAGAAAAACAAAGCAATCCGAAAAGAAATACAACAGAAAACCATGTGACAATAAACGGCATTGTGCTTTTGTCTATCTAGCAAAACATCATACTCCTCCACAAATTATTACAACAATTGATGAATGACGCAAACACGCACTCCAAAAACAGAAAAAGGAGAAAGACTTTCGAGGAGAATTTGCAGCTATTGGCCCTTTTGCCTTTAAAACAGTAGCTGACTAAATGCTAATCTCTAGTTGCACATGTCCCCTTTACGATAAGCATGTTTTACATATCTTACTTCTGCTATAATCTATTCAACCTACATTTGAAAAACTAGCATTTCTCAAAAGGCAGTGTCTCTGTGGCGTCTCCGAGGAGACTTTACGTCATTAAATGCTGAATGGAAATCAGTTTGCACAAAAATATACAAATTCAAAATGTACTTGAATCAAATGACTTTGGTATAAACAAAATTCAGATTAAGTTAATCACACAGTAAACTTCCATTCCTGAATGTTCCCTTTAAAACTACATATTTCTACTTGTCCTGTCAAAATGGCAAAGTATGAATTATGCAAGTATTCATGGGAAGAAAATGCCACCAGGAAATGAACAAAGCATCCAAAAAAACTGATTATCACAAAGAAAAAAGTGCACTCATACCTCTTCTCTGGGATGACATTTTATATTTTAACTAAAAACATCCACAGTATAAATCTGTGGACATTTTGAGAATAAAGTAATGCAAAAAGGCAGAATTTTATGGGGAAAAAGTCCTAATATTTAAAAAAAAAGAAAGTTTGAGAGTAAAATATTTAGAGAAAAAAGTTGTAATATTAAAATAAAGTCATAGCATTACAGTGAAAAGGGAAAAAAATGCTGTATGTTCTTATTAAACTCTGGTTAACATGCTCATAATTTAGCTTTTCCTGAAAGAGTAACTGTACAATACAGCAGATACAAACTGTGTTGTACAGTTAATACTTTTCCTTGCAAAAAAATATCTTTTTCCTCTTAATATTGTGACTTTATTCATGAAATATAATAATATTAGTCTTAACATTGGCCCTAATACTCTGTTGCACATTCTTACTTAGTTCTGAATGCAGGAAGTTGAGTTACAGATGAAGCTGCAAGGTCAGAGAAGATGTACCCGGGGGAATTAATAACAAGTTTGTACAAAAGCAACTCATCTCAGTGGCACAACTTTTTTTTTTCTTCTAGCCAATGTTTCAATCGATATGAATCCCATTCTTCTTCTGATTTATTCTTGAAAAGCTCACACCACTTTTGAAAGAGCGTATGAGAACACGGTTCCAGCTCAAAGTTTTTCGTCAGTTCTATGCAAATGACCAAAGAAGATTCACCATCAACACCTTTCAGAAGAACAAACCGGCTCGAATCTCCTGCGTCCCATTTATAATCTTTAAAGTAGATCGATGAAAGCCTCATTAATGCTGAGGGCTCCACTTTGTTTTCTTTGTGAGAGCGATGCCAGTGAATGCTGACTCATCCCCGACTAGCGACTGTACTACGTGCAGGCTCTCCAGCCTATTAGCAGGGTGAATTGTTAGTGTCTTGGCAAGCCGGTTTCTCCTCGTACAGCGGTCAACAGGGCAGCACTGAGATTAAAAACGCTGAGTTCATGCACCCACAACAGCTGAGAGGAGAAATGAGAGCCTGGTGGGACTGACAGCTTCTTTATGTTTGTCAAGAATTTACCTCGACCTTCAGCACTCCTGGCATTGTCTATTTAAATGTTATAAATTGACATGTTAGTGAGATGCAGCTGTGCCTCTGCTGCCCACACGTATATCTACTGAATACACAACACGTACATCTACACCACCTACACCGGCACTGCCCTGCAATTATCAGCCTGAAGTATAGAAGAGCTTTTCAGAGGAGTTTCCAAGTAAACAAGTTAAAAAACAGGTCAAAAGGAGGCAAAACAATTAACGCGTTGAAACCCAGGGAAGTAAAGCGACATAAATATTTTAATTCATCTGAAGCTGAAGTTTGGCTTTAAAAGTAAGTTTAATGGAAGTACAAGTACTGTTTAACGTCTCTGCCCCTGCGTGTGATTCTTAAAGGATGAAGGAATCTTACAAATCTAATCTGCAGAGAACTTCAGTAAACTTTTTCTATTGATCTTATTTATCATCGACTAATGTGCCAAGATTGACTCATTTACATCTGAAGTCCTTTGTCAGAATAGTAAAAAAAAACAAAAAACCTGTAAAGATCAGAATAAAGTATTGATAATATTATCAGAGACGGCTCATATGTGCAGTCTAGTCTGAAGTCTGAACAATGGGAATTACACCAGGGTTCGACATACGGGGGAGCGAGAGGGAGCTCAGCTCTCCCGAAAGAGACATGAACTCTCCAAAAAAGTTCGTAATTGTTGGTGCCAATGGTTATTTTCTGTATAAATGTAAATCTTCCTGTACATCAGGCAAATGTTTGAGCACTTGTGTGTATTCGGGCAATTTCAGATCATTTGTGCCTAATAAACACAAAGCTGTCTATTCCTGCTAGGGCCATCTATGCGTGGGGGCGCACTCAACGCGCGTTACTAAGCAGAGCGCAACAACAAAACAACAACATTGTAATGGTTAATAATTCTTGTTTCTCTGTTGTCCCAGGCTAAATATTCTCCGTACGAACTGAAATATACTGATGGTTTATTTTTGCAGATATGCATACATCCAGTATCCTCCCAGCCCTGAATAAGAGGGTCTCCTGAAAGCCACAGTGTAATCTGAACACTCCCGCTTGTGTCCACTACAAGACAACACACTCATGATGAAGTTAAATATATCTGGCTGACTGACCATTTTCTATCTTTACCCAAACGGTGCACATGAGAAGGACAGAGCCACAGTGGCTTGATCAGTGAAATTAGAGGCCAATTTCTCCGCCGCCGTCTTTACAACAAACTGTGATTTGTGACCAGCTGCAAGCGTATCTGTGCTAAATTGACTCGGCTCTGATAGGGGGAAACTTATGTTTTACTAACTGAGCTGAAGTGAACTCAAAGTGATGCAGAACTGTAGCTGTGTTCTGCAATGGCACATGAATTATTAAGTTTCTCTGTGACCAACACACACACACACACACACACACTTTTGGTTACAGCTGAGAATGGCAGCACAGAGTTTGTCCTCTTAAAACATCACATAAAAGCTACCAGCATTTCAGTGGCTTCAGCGCTGAGGTCTAATTAGGATGAATTATTAATTTGATTTTTTTTTTTTTTTTTTTAAAGATTGTTGCAGACCTGACGGGTTTATCTCAGGGAATGTAACGCAACTGAAACATTACCTGGTCCCAGGGTCAGTCACACGACCGAAGATGCAGTCATGCAAGCAACTCTGACCAGATGTGCCGACACAACAGCTCAGATAAACACAGTGGAATTGTGGGTAGGAAGCAGGAAGACCCTCTTGTAAGTGGGAGCCGGTTTAACCATCTGAAATCCAATATAGTGGTTTTGAGGTGTTTATTCCTCAGAGCTCATTTCAAGCAGCTTGACAGACACCTAATCCATGACTTAATATTTATATTAAAGGTGGAGAAAAGAAGAAAAGGGAGTTTAAAGAAGTTAAGCTCACTGAAGATATAACAACATAATCCTCACCGAAATTATTTGTGACAATTTAACTGTGTTTTAGCGGGAAAGGGCTTCAGAAAAGAAGTGGAAGCTGCCGGTTTGGAAGCATGAAGCATTCGTCTCTTCAGCATTTCTGTAAAGGGATGAAATGAATTTATCTCACAGCTTAAACATGGTATACTTAAAAAAAATTACCTCTTCATTTAAAACTTTTGAAGGTTATGGGTTTAAAAAAAAAAAAAGGTTACATTGGAGAAATAAAATCCAAAAGGTTTAAGTATTTTATATTGATACGTGTTTTTTTTGGCAACATTCTCCTCAAAATAATCTATAATATATTCTGCGATTTACTTTTGTTGTTTTAAAGTTTATTTGTTTCAATAAACTTGCTAATCTGGCTGAAATGGTAAAAAAATACATACTTGGAGAAGAGACTTGTGGTGGATGCATCAAAGAATGTCGGAAATGTGATTCAGTTTCAACAATTAAATTCTCTAACATCATATACTGTTACTTTCTCTCTCACACACAGACACACACACTCACACACTCTGAAACTAGGTCTGTGCATAATAACAAAGACTAGCTCAAGGAAAAAAAGAAAACAGGAGAGTAGAGCTACAGTCAATGTTGCAGAAAATATAAAACCTGCAACAGAGCACACGAGTATTGAGAGCTGCAGCTGAATAAACTCATCCTTTAGATTATGAACCTCAACCAAAACTGGGACGCACACAGACACACAATGTGAGTATCTGCCTCAAATTTAAATCATCCATTAAGTTCTCACACGTAACATATATTCAACCTTTCAGTCATCATCTCAGCTCTATACTATATGTAAGTTATAGTTTGCCTAGTTGTGCTTGGCACGAATCCCTTTTAAGTAGTTTTTCCAGCGCTTGACCACATCCTTGAATATGGGAGAGTTGTCTATGGATGCCACCAGCTGTAGCTGGTTAATGTGCGTGGTGTGATAGTCCCAGCGTGCCAGATTGGGCGCTGTGCCCAACATGAAGTGACGCAGGTCATAGATGCTCCCAGACCCTGTGTCGAAGAGGGGCAGCATGGCCTTCAGGGACTCAATGCCGCGGCTGAACAGCTGCCCAGCCTCCCTGCCAAGCTTCTCTCCGGCTGTCTCAGTCAAGTCAAAGAGTCCCAGCAGGGAGTAGATGAAACCGTTGAGGACAAAGGAGCTGGGTGTGGTGGGGTATTCTTCATACCAGTCGTATTTGTTCATGAACACAGCTTTGACCCCGTGCTGCGCTGAAGGCACCTTGTAGGGTCCTACTGCCTTGAGGGCAGCGTTGAGGTAAGCCTGGTCCTTCGTGAGGAGGTAGGCTCTCACCAGGGTGGACATGGCCTGGCCTTGAGCCATGGCCGAGTACCAGCCGGGCTCCAGAGGCCGGAAGCCTTCACCCAGTTTTCGGGTGACCATGATGGGCCAGCCCCCTCGTTCATCCTGGTTGCGAAGCAGCCAGTCACTGGCGGCAAAGAAGGCAGCCATGTGGGCAGTGGTGGAGATGGTGACGTTGTCAACGAAGCCACGCCCATGTAGGACTAATCGCACCACCCGTCTGGGCATAATCTGAGTAAGAAATCAGGCAGATGAGATGATCAATAACTGGAATTACCATTAGGTATTAATTCATATGCATATGTTTATAATTTCTACATGTAATTAGTATTTACTGTCAAAGTTCTTATAATGAGATAACCTGGTTCAAAGTTTTAATGATGACATTTTTCCTAAGAAAAACATAACATTTACATTTAATTTACAAATTTGACAGAAATCAGTTAAAATAACGCTGCAAAAGTCATCATGTTATTAGTTTGTTCAACTGAAATGCAGATTTAAAATGAGAAATCAATTATGATTAATTATATATGATCCAGTTTAATTCCAACTAACAATTATATTCATTATTTAATAATCTGCTATTGATTAATTGATCAATGGTTTTGTCTATAAAATGGCAGAAAATTGTGAAAATCAACTCAATGTGTTCAAATCCCTTGTTTTGTCCAAACCCCAAAGTATTCAGTTTACCACAATATAAGATGAAGACAAGCAGCAAAACCTCACATTTGAGAAGCTGAAACAAGGAACATTGTTTGTTTTGCTTAAAAAAATGACAATGACTCAGTTATAGGTGCAGATTCCTTTTCCATTGATTGATTAATCAACTCGTTTCAGCTCTAGTCCAGTTACATCGGTAAAACACAGGGGTTGTATTAAACGTACTTTAAGCACCAAAAGTCTGACATAAACCAACCTTTGTGACCTTCACAGCCTTAGTGTTGGACAGCCCGACGCCCTTCCTGAGGTCGGTGAGCAGATCTCGGGTTAGAGTGCTCCAGGAAGTTCGTGAACCGATACCGTAAGTGATTTCTCGGTCTTTGAAGGCGATGAGCTGCGTGCTGGTCACGTAGTGGATAGTGAAGGGCGGGCCCTTCTCTGTGGTTTCCAGGATCACAGACACACTGCCATTGGAGATGAACTTGATGTCCAAGCTGAGGATGAAGTCTTTGGAGTTACCCAGCTGGAGGGACACGCCTTCGGAGGACTCTGTGGTGGTGGGGGTGGGGTGAGGAGGGTGGGTGCAGCAGATAAATGGGGGAGATGTTAAAAATGTTTATAATGAGCCAAAATTGCAGGAGAAAGGACATTTTATAGGGTTTCTTCAAGCGCATTTGGTCAGAAAAAGGATGTCTAACCTCATTTGACTGATTTTAAGAACTTCTGATGATTACCAGATGACAATGGACTATTTTTAGCAGACTGAGTGGAAGACTATTACAGCGCGTCTGCCTGCTTTAATACACTCTCCTTTGATGGTGTGTTCCTATGATAGCTCGTCTTTTTCCAGACTGTTCGCTAGTCGCATTTTCAAATGATCAGTAACAGTCAGATAACTTTAGAAAAATTCTGCAGTCAAACTCTTTATTGCATCGTTATCACCTGTGTGAAGTTACTAGCTGTGTGTGTGTGTGTGAGTCTCAAACACCCACAGGAACAACCTTCTCATGGGATGTACAGTACAGATGTGTCACTGCACATTTGAGCTTAATTAGGAGAACAGACGTGAGGGAAAGGAGGGGAGGAAAAGAACAGGGTAGTAGGAAGGTGGAACAAGAGAGTGAAAGAAGAAGTTGATGCAGTGCAGCAACTTTTCTATTTGCATCTCCACGTCTCTTTTAAAGCTCACCAAAAGATCCAAACTCTGATGATTTTCATTTTCCACACTGCCGCCACTTCTCTTACATTATATCAACTGTGTGCCAGCCACTTCAGTTACTGTTCTGAATTCATTTCAACCCCCTAAAGCACTAACAGCTTCTGGAATGATCTCTCCTTTGGCCTTGTTTCTTGGTCTGCACAGCAAAAAAAGCAAAGAAAAAAAAACCCAACAACAACCAAAAAACCCTTTTCTCATCAAGGCTCCCCCAAAGGATAAAGAGAGGAAAGAGTGTAGGAGTCAAGAAAAAGGAGGGTAATGGAATGATGGGTCGCACAAGTGCCCTTAAGGCCAGAGAGATACCAGAGAGAGTGAAAATGAGCCAATAGTGAGAAGACAATTGAGAATCAGAGAGAGAAATCTCACATGACATGAGCTGAGAAAGCAGAAGCAGACGAGGCCGTCTGAGACACAAAGGCAAGTCGATGAGGAGGAGAATGAAGGAGAGAGCCAGTCTGGCAGGGGCCTCAAGATGACTACGGCTCTTTAATGCACTCATAAATCCATTACTTAAGGCAATGCAGAGAGTAAGTGGATTTGTACTCTGGCCCCGTGATTACTCTGGCATCAATAAAGGATGGGCAGGGAATATAGACGAGATTCCACCTCCACTGCTCTGCTTTTCTCTCTGGCTATTTAGCAATAAGGCGGGAGACAGAGATGACAAGCAGCAAGGAACATGTCAGTGTAAAATCATGCTCGTATACGGGATGTTAAACTAACACTTGAAAAACACATGAACGTGTTGCAGAAGATCTAAGTGACAAGACAACAGAGGTGTGATTATTCATCCACATCCTCCAGCCTTTAAAGTATTATATTATATTATATTGACCCCTTCGGGCTTTAAATAACAATTATTTTCATTATTGATTAATCAACCAATTATTTTCTCAATTAATGGTTTTGTCTACGAAATGTTGAAAATGGTGAAATATGCTCAAAGTGACCAATGAATTGTTTGTTTTATATAGCCAACAGTCCAAAACTTTAATATATTTAATTTCAAATTAATATGACAAAGAAATAAACCATATTTGACGAGTTCAAATCGAATCATTGGCATTTTTGCTTAAAAACGGATTAGATTAGTAGCTGATCAACTTTCTGTTGACTGACTATTTCAGCTCTGCACTGAACAAAAGTAGATTTAATGTGGATTTTTGACTACTGGTCACTAAATATCTGTTTTTATGAAATCTAATTTGTTTCTGCAATACTGCAATGTATTTGCAATCTTTTCTATATTTGTTTCTGACAGAGGAGCTGCTCAAGGTGCGTTGAGGTTACGGTTGTCACGGTAACAACAGGTGTAGGCAAATCAACCAAACTGAAATCTTTCCAGAAGTTATTCTAAAAGCCACTTTAACTCTTTGATTGAATGTTTTAAGAAAACAAACAGATTTGGTTACGGGCGGGTACGCGTCTATGCAGCTGATCCGATACCATGTAATTTATTATCCCCAAAACTAGTTTGTGATCCACCCTACTCTGACAAAAGGGTTTAAGCAGAGCCAGGCCATACAACAACAATGGCAATTATACTGGCTTAGCAGTATACTCTTGTTAAAAAATAATAATAATTAGATATCGGATCCGTACTCTGTATTGGCCGATACGCAAGTTCAGGTATCAGATTCTGTATCGAGGAGGAAAGAATGGTATCAGAACATCTCTGATCAATAATCATAAAAACTTCTTAGGCTGGAGAATAGTTTTTAAAGCACTGATGCTGGAGACAGCTGTTATGATCTGTACCTCCACACACAGATTACTTTGCCAATTGTGGCAGGGTTTGGTTTTTACAAATTGCATTTCTGAACCATCAACCGACCACGAGGGGATTCAGAAAATAAAGGTGCTCAGTGGCGGACAGTGTTCGCACAGGAATGTGCAGATGGTAGATGGTAGGTTATTATCAGGGGACAGACGATTGATCCACTTGTCAGAGCATTTGAGAGGCTGTTCAACACCAGTGCCCTAGATACAGTAAGGAGGAAAAAGGACCCAAAGAAGGCAGGAGGAGGAGGAAGTGGAGTGAGGCAAAGACAGAAAGAGAAATTGACAGCAGAGGAAGAAAATAATAAAAGTTTGGATGAGAGAGCCGGATAAGAGGTTAAAAATGGATAGAGCTAATATGATTGCAATGTTTAGGAAGCACAAGGGGGCTGAGGGGTGATAAGTGGGGAGAAATGAGTAAATAGAGGTGGAAGACTGACTGAAATCCGGAGATAGACGAGGAAGATTAATGGAGAATGAAGACTGCCGAGGGAGGGCTGAGGACTGATGATGAAAACATGATGATGTCAAAGAAAGAGAGCTATGGTGGCGAGTTTAAGCCGTAAGGCAAGGTGAGCGAGCAGCAGAGCGAGAGAGAGAAAGAAAAGTGTGGAGCGGTGAGACGAAAAGAAATTGTTGATGATGAGAGGCTGAAAGCGGAAGAATTAGGAGGAGGTGAAAATTACAGTAGAGGCAGCAGCTCAACAGAGGACACAGAGGGAGAGAGAACGCCCTGGAAATATCAGCAGGAGATCAAAGGAGAATAAAAGACAGCTCACAGTCAGCTTTGGGTAAAAAAATCTGACTTCTCCAAATTCTAAAAATAACACTGCCAACTATCTCATGGCCTTGGTCACTTTACAGCTGGAAAACTAGGCCAGATTTCCAATCTCTATTGTAATAAATAGATTTTATTTATAATCTAGACCAGTCAGAGTTACCCGTCACTGCATTTCTTGCGTTCCACAATATAAGAGCTCTACAGAGTCTGTATATTACCCCAAGGCTGAACAATTTGAAGAAAATCTCTCAATTTTTCTGACTTAAATTGTGCATTAACTTGCACTTCTTTTCTACAGGCCTGTATTTGTGGTCTACACAGTATTAAACAAGTTATCACAAACACTATCACAGACTTATTGTTCCTACATAATACAATAATAAAATATTGCTTTTACCCTTAGGTTCAGTTCAGCTAGAGAAAAGCCAACTTCTACGTAAACTAGGTTTGTTTATTCTGGCAGGATTTAGGCATTTCTTAAAATAAGACATTTAAAAGTTAAAACTTTAACGGGGAGATTCCAGCACCTCTGTTCACCAGCCATCTGTTAGCGTTATACTTGAAAACTGCCAAGCTAAATGCTTACTAGTCTAAAGTTGATATGAAGCAAAACTTCTCACTTCTTTTGTCTTTTAAGAACAGCAAAAAGCTGCATTTAAATATCCAAAATGACACAGAACGGTGTTTCTTCTGGCACAACATAAATCTATAGAATCAGCATGCAGAGAATTAGCACAATTAACCAGTCAGCAGCAAAGACGTCTTTCTTTTTGCTTCACAACTCACAGAATTAACCACAAATGAGAAGAGCTGAGTAAATTTGCCAGAGACAGTTGTTGTTATAGTTGGTGAAATGATCACCGGATGAAGCTTTAACAAGCTCTTGTCATTTGAAAATTGCACTCTTTCAAACCGTATGTGACTCAGACTCCGTCGTTCCCACTGCATTGTGCAGCTCTGAATATGTTCTGTTGGCGGCATAATGAAAAGGACGATAGGAGTAAAGTGGGAGACAGTTTTTTTAAATATATTTGGCCTCTTTATAGATCAATTTTTAGATGCACGAGAGAAGGCTGCACACAATAAATGACTATAAAGTCTGAGGGAGGCTGGAGCAGAGTTTCCTCAGTACCATATGAGCCTTGGATACAAAGCGAGTGAGGCGAATTAAATTAGATTCCTTGTGGCACCAAGGACAGTGCTATCCTTCAGTGGGTAACTAATGCACTGATGGAGAATTAAACAGATAATATGTTGACTATTCATCTGTTTGTAAGGATTTTCTAAAGTTCTTACTGCAATGTTCAAGTCTCATTAAATCCCTGTACAACAATAGCAACGTAATTTTCAGCGACAGTTTTGTAATGTCAACTGTGTGTCTGACTCATCAGATCAACAAACTACATGATTTGCTTAATATAAAACCTCTGGTAACAGTGATAAAGTTACAGATAAATCACTTCTGATAATGTTATGGTTAATAATATCTGACTGATGACCACTGTTGAGTGCTTTCCACTGAAGCAGAATGAGCTATATTAACTGCCTCACAGCTCTGAATCCTGCAGAACCCGACCATAGCTATTAGGTTGCTTTGCTTAAAATATAAATATGATTAATATGATATGTCTAATGGAATAATTTGGTGATATTTCACATATATATTCTTGTTAAATACCAAAAAAAGACAAAAAATGACAATGAATTTATCTCATGTAGCCAAAGTTTGATATATCTTATTCCTCTGTGTCATAGACCTCCATTTTTGTCCACAATTACAAACACATCAACTAGATATTGATCGCTGAAGAGACTCGCCAGTCTGTTGGTCTTTCTGAACAACACAAAAAGGTAATAATTAACTATCTTTCATTAAAGCCCATATGGTATGTACAATGGCCTGCAAAGCCCACTCTAACCTGACGACAGCCTTGAGCTTTATTTAGACCTTTAACCAACAAACAGGATTAAGATTAACCGGCTACAGCTGATAACATTTGGAGACGACAGTTATCATTTCAACCACTGATACTCTGGATAAAAAGGAGAAATCTATGGTGATAATAATGTCGACTAGAGGTATTTCTCTCCGCAGCAATTTTCACAATGCATTAAGATAGCATAAATGTGACAATGTCTGACTAAGTGAACAAAATAGGATGAAATGTGTGATGTTGTGTCTGCAGGTTCTTAAATCATCATAATTTTTAGGAATCTGTCATTATGTGATGGGTCCACTGTCAACCAAAAGAGTCTGCCAGTATTCTGGCACTGTGGCTGTGACTCACCGCACACTATCCTCCTGTCCTGAGGGTGTAGCTGCATATCGAGGCTCCTACAGCCACAGTTAACAGGAGATAAGCTCCTTGCCCCGAGGCCATCTGGGCTCATGGAAGGCTTACATACCTGGAGCACTGAACTGACGCACGGTGGTAGTTCGGATCTTGTCGTAGACACGGCTGAGACCGCAACCTTTCGGCACACTCCAGGGAGCTGTGCTTGCCCGGCTATCTCTCTCCTCTGCTGTATCATAGACCTCTACGTGGGGAGGGCGCTCGGTCAGGTTTTTGCTGTAATGGCTCAAGCCGTACTGAGCAATCTGGATGGCGTAGAAGTAGCCCTGAGGGCCCCACTGAGTGGACAGAGGCACGCCTGGATGGAGAAGGAGAATAAGGACAGAGATATTAAACCTACTACGAGGAGTTTTTAACTGGTTATGAAACAGTCTCAATTTAATACTGATACCTCTATATCACCTAGATAAATATGCATCATCTTGTTTATGTAAAGGTTTTTCTTTTAAGCTCTTTGCAGTCTATTTCAAGGAAATGTTCCTTTTTAGATTGCAGTTGGCATAACAGATTTTTTTCTGGCTTGAGGAAAGACTGAATCTATTAACTTCAGTGACACATTAAGTTCATAAGCACAGTCGTATCGATAAAACCGGTCCAAAATGAATTATTGATACCACTCGTTCAAATTTAAAAACTTTCCAGTAATGGGAAGAAACGAGCTGTGGCAAAAACAAAAGTTAAAATCTGGGCCTACATTGTATACAGACACAGAAGACAACAGAAAACAGTCACTACAAAAAAGCAGCAGAAAACTGTGAAGAAAAGAAACACCACATGCTATGGTAAATAATTGGATGGTGTGGTGAAATTCAAGATAAGCTACTGCATTTCACTGCAGGCGAGCTTCCCTGTTCACGCAGCCAGGAATAGCTCAGGCAGGAGAATCACTCTGATTAACAGATAGTTCACTTAAAGCCCTTGTGACAGAGAGAGCACATGTGCAACTCAAACCCCATCCTTCTGAGAAGAAGAAGATAATATACTCAGATTAGGGCTGGGTGATAATGTGCCTCCTCCTTTCAAACTAATCACTGCTGCATACACAGCTGATCACTTATGTACTATTTCCCTTATTGCCATTTGTACTGTTTTCCCAATAGGAGGTAATCATGCACTAAAGACTCCATTTTATTATTTGCTGCTCTCCAAAGTACAGGTCCAGTTGTCTGACCCCAAAATCCAACGGCCAATGATGTAACACAGAAAGAAAGCTTTTTGCTTTTCTTTTTATGACAGACAATACAGTCAAATGGATTTTCATTCTAGCCTGTGTGTGTAATTGAAAATAGAGGGGAAGAATGAACTGATGGGCATTATGATAAAGTTGTTGTTGTACTGAAAACGTTCCTCTGCTCCCTCGTTAAACTGTTTAGAGACCATACAGCTAGTAATGGTGTGTCTAATGTACTGAACATTTTCAAAATGTTTGACTGTGAAACAAAATGTGCAAACACATACACACTTGTCCTGCAGTGACATGCAGGTTGCAAGAAACTTACAAATGATTCCACGAGTCTCTCAGTTCTTACTAGCAATATATATAAATTACACACTAATAGTTAAACAGCAAAATTCTTACAAATTATCTCACTAACTACTTGTTGTTGTTTTTTTACCAATCTGGAACATCTTAACATCTACATTTGGTTTTCTCATGGTTAAGACATGAAATCACTTTTTACCCGTCAGCGAGGAGCTAAACCAGAACCCTCCATCCACCCCCGATCCACCTTGTGCACTGGACTCACTGCAGTAGGAGTCGATGCAGCGGCGAGGGCATGATCCCATACTGATGTGCCATCCACAAACACTGGTAATTTGTATTCAACGACTTGCCCAATCGCAGCTAGAAGCACTATCGCTGAGGATTGTGGCGGATATGCAGTTTATTTCTACACCAGCTGAGCAACCGTATTACACTAGTTATACACGACTCTATGACTCATTTTACTTTCATGGCCTGTATGTACATTTCTGTGAAGAATTAATTTAGACAGACCAAATTTGTTGCACAAAAACATAAAAACCTTTTTAACAGAAGCTCTTGTACATTTACCAACTGCTCCCTGCAGTGTTTCCATACCGAGAGTCTGTCTCGTACCAGGCAAAACAGAACTGCATGCTTAGCCGTTGCATAAATGTATGGCACAGATTCAGAAGAGTTTTACCCATTATTAAACAACAAAGTGCTCCCATGCATGCTCAAGTAAATGATTAGTTATAACAAGCTAATGTTTATTTATGTCAGGGAAAATTAGTTAAAATAATGTATCAATAATGAATGATTTAAATCCTTTTAATGGTTAGCAACACTCACTGTGTAGCCCGTTTCATGACAAATATTACAGAGTAATGCATCTGAAATATGCATTTTCTTATGTTTGATCATCATTACTAATGGGGCAGGAATTTATGCCCCAGTTTATTTAAAAAAAAGGGACAAGTACATACCACCCACCATCATTGAGGACTGATGCATTTGATTCATGTGTTCATAAAAAAAAAAGAGCACAAAAAATGAAATGCACACACGCATACACCCATACATCCCCACACACACATGCAATCTCTTGCCAGCCTTTTTTTCATGCCTGTCTCGTTACTGGCATCTCCCTCGACAACTTAAGTCAAATGACTGTCAAAATCCCAACACTGTAACATGGTGCTACTCACTGAATAACACTAAGTAATCCATGTGGAATTGACTGTTAAGCCTCCACATATTTTCATGACTCCAGAGAGTGGACTTTTCTAGAAATTTGAAAACCTAAGGCTTGTGCCAATTACAGTAGGCTCTAAGCCTACTGAAGTTAATATAGCAGCAAAAGTGTGACACCATCTTATTGTTGTGCAATGTTTCTTCTCCTCATTTTTGATCACTAGCTTCGTTGTTTGCCTTTACACCTTGTGCTGAGCCAACTGAGAAGTCTTTGCAGCTTTTAGCCTTCTTTAGATAAACAGTTTGAGCAAACTAGCTCAGACAATCTCACAGTGAAGAACCAAAGTGAACTGGTGGAGACAGTTTAGCATGTTGCAGCTTGGTTGGGGCCAAAGCAGAGCTAAAAGGCCTGTGAATACTGGACTAACATAGTTCAGGTGGTGAGAAACATGCTAACAAATAACAACTTGAATGGTCTATCAGAAATGTGTTCCTGTAATGTTTTTTGTATTCTTTCTTTCTTTCATTCTCTTATTATCTTTATTTAGCTGGATATTACACTTCCTGCTACTTAGTGTTTCACACAGTGATTGAACAAAATGAAGCAGCTGGCTTGAACTCAGCTGTAGAATCAGTATAATTATACGCCAACCACAGGTACTGTAGATGCGAAGCCTATTGGAAAAAAAGCACAGATGAAAAGAGCCTGTCTGCCGACAGACTGCAAACCACACATTTATTAAATTTTTATTCAACAGGACACAGATGGAACTGGGATCAAATTGTTGTCTATTTAAATTAATTCATGGTTTGGAGTCTTTGTAACCTGGCTGTAACACACAATGGTTTGCAACAGTGTCCTGGATTCTATTCAGAGACAATTCATCCACCTCTATCTTCACTGGAAAGCACTGGATCCATCTTGGTCAGCAGTTGAGTTTGCACAGGTGTTAGGTTAAGGGAGTCAGTGTATGTGTTTGCACTGAGAGTGTAAGTGAGAGTATGTGTTTTATTAAGCACTTAAAAAAGGTTCTAAGGTGTATTTTAGGGCCTGTGTGTGTGTGTGTGTGTGTGTGTGTGTGTGTGTGTGTGTTTGTGCAAATGTTTAAGTGATGGTGGTCTGCAACGGAACGGGGAGCGAAGATAAAGATGGTTCAAGAAAAAGCGAGAAACACAAAAAACGAGACAGCTCATGATTTAAGAGGGTGTTGTTAGAGAGGATTAACTACTTCCACTAATGATAGTGCCCTGGCTGCTGGAGCTTCATTATTCTCAACTTTTTGTTCTTTGTCTCATGGAGGCTCTGGTAAAACAAGGGAAAGTAAGACCTCAATTTCTAACCCGCCACTATAAAACTACAAGCCCTACAGGAGATGTGACAGGAACGGCACATTAAAGAGCTGTATTTGTACAACTCTGTCTAATAATAAGAACGTGGAGAGAATACATTTGGATTCAAAGACTTATTTATCTAAAAATGGTCTCAATCTAAACATTTTTATTTTATCCCATTGGAGCAAGTGACAGCATGAACTTGAGATATTAATAAAATCTATGTCAAATGCTAGACTTTGACTCTTCACACAAGTTGCATCCCAACAGAATAAGGCAAAGTGAAGTAAAAGAGCCTTCGCAACATTTAATGAATTTTGCTGAGGGTCCTGTTAAATAACTTTTCCATGGGTAGCAGGGTGCGCTGGGAGAGAAACACTCCCATGACCTTGTTTAAGCCCTGTGGTACCTCGGACTGTGACAGGCTAATTAATGAACTGCTATTTTCACCTATAAAAATATGCTAAGTTGAAGAGAGGTGTGTATGCTTGCGCATGTTGAGTGCTAAATAGCAAAGAGCCTTGGGCTTAATTAATGGACCTTGGTAAATTATGTGTGTGTGTGTGAGTGAGAGCAAGTGTGTGGTTATGAGAGTGTAGATGTGTTTTCTCTATTTAGTACTAAAAGAAACATTCTGCAGGAAATGGTAGAGTGAGAATAACTTGGCTCCCCACTGCTCAGCCCAGAGGTATGAACTGACAGATTTGGCTAGATTCCTGTTTGACCCATTTTCCATTATGTGTTCTCTCTCATACATGTGTTGCAGTGGGGTACAATTAGGGTAAATGTAGCATAATTTGTCACCCAAAAAGGTCCTTAAATGGGACTGGAGTTCAGTTAAAAGAGTAATGAGAACCACAAAAATAAAACAATGCACTTTGAAAATCATCCAAACTCATTAGGATCAAATAAATATGTTGTCAGGCTTTCTGACCCAACTCATAATTCAGTATTTTCTGCCTCCATGCAAGTATTACAGCCTCCGAAAGAGCGCATGATGGAATGACAAACATAATTCTTCCAAATTTGACTATTTATAAAACTATTGTGGGTTTGTGTGATAAACAGAAAAGCAGCATTTGTGTCACCATGTGGCAAATTGCACTATCAATCTCACCAAAAAATACCTATTTACTGCTGGCAAATTGCTCTTACAGACACAGGCTATCATTATTCATCAAGCTAACCTCACAACTGACACTTTGCCAGTGAATATATCGTCTTTTATTACATCTCACCACAAAAACAAAAGTTTGCTTCTTGAGTGGAAATGGACGCAGGAACTGTGGCCGAATAACTACGAGTCATATCCCTCCTACTTCTATCATTTTCACTGATGAAACTGATATGTTTGAATTTCAAAGGGAACTTTTTGGGGAACATAAAACAGCCACTATATTTACAGCTCCTGGTGTGATAGTGTTCCTTCTATTTTACTGGAAACTATTTGACAAAAAAAAAAAAAAAAAAAAAAAAAAGAAGAAGAATGAATATCTATTTTGTAATTTTGGGCCAAGTATACAGGGCCACTTCTTCAAGCGAGCATGGAACTATATTGATGACAATGTGGTTTGAACTAATAGCCTTTTAAAATGAGCTATTGATCCTTCCTGGTGATAATATTAAAAAAAAAAGGAACCTTGAAAAGAAAATAACTTTAGTGTGGACAAGGAGGGATAGACTCACTAAACAGAGTGTTCAAGAAAGGCTAATAGTGCCTGGGAATGGGTGGCAGAGATTTTGAAATCTGATGCATCTTGTTAATCAAGTCTCGATTCACTTTCTCACAGATCACTCAGCTGAAATCAACCTCATTAAGTAAATCATGTATTTCTCAGTTACGTAGGCGTTATTCAACACCTAAAAAGTGCTGATGGTTTATGAAATAGAATCAGTTTGGAAACCTGGTGTTTTACTTTAGGTAGCATGAAAGGGAAAATGTAATTTAAAGTAAATCTGTAAAAAGAAATGTACTTTTAAATGTATAAATGCATGTTTATGTTAACTTTCCCCTGTCATACAAATGTCTGCAAATACATAACGTAATAATTAAGTTGTCCTGTGACTGACACATCACATTTTGTCACCTTTTGCACATATAATCCCCTTTGAGATGAGACTGTTAATATTTGCTACACAAAACTAATACTGCTTCTTGAAAATCCTGGATTCAAAAGCATAAAGCATTTCACATTTGTTACTACTAGTGATCTAAACAGACAGTAGAAGTTAAGGTTTTTTTAAAATATTGATATTCAAATGCACTGTGACTTGATTTTATGTACTATTAGCAACACTATTTAATCTAAGATCTAGTATTCTCAAACATCCCTGTGATGAACATCAGTTAAAAAGTCTTACCTTCCACTCCACTTATACACTTGACACGGTCACGGACCTCCACATTGTATCCCTCGAACGACATGAAGACCCCATCGGGGTGGTAGGGCTCACGCTGAGTGTAAACCTTTGAATAGCTGTGCTGGAACTCAAACCGATCGTAGCCGTCGTACTGCACTACTTTGCCGTACACCTCAAAGTATTTCTCCATCCAGCTGAAGGGCAGGTAGATCTCTCCACCCTCTCGGCGGCCTTTGATAGTAGACTCATCATTGATCAGGCAGTCGATTTCTTCATACTTAATCCCGCTGATGACCCCGACAACAGGCGGGGGCTCTGGAGGTTGTGGAGGGTGTTGTTGGCTGCTGATGCTAGCATCCCCCACCTTGGGACTTGGAGCCACCAAGGCAGCGCGGGGCAGGAAGCGCAGGGAGGTGTCACTGGAGCAGCGGTTCCATAGCAACACAGTGATGAGCGTGAAGAGGGCGCAGATAACGATGAGGGTCTTGTAGTTCACACGAGCAGCCAGGCAGCGCATGGTCACAACTTGCCTGCATGACACAAACACAGTGGACGCATTAGAAGCATGTAAGGTTGATGATTTGTTGTGAGGCCAAGAACATCTATCATCTGGTATCGGCATGTGAAGAAATTTACACCTTACAAGCTTAAGCCCTGTAGACTGGCAGCCTGCCATTAAATACTACTGAATTGATGTTATTAGAGAGCAAAGGACAATGTGAAAAAGTTACAAATCTACGATATAACGACATAAATTCATTGCACAACATTTAATGCGATTTTCATTACTATAGTCAGTACATTTAAATGTATACGAGAGGCGAGGCTCCTGAAAGTGCCTTTATATGCAGCAGGTCAGTAATAAGACTTCTCCTCTGCTGCCTGACTTGGAGCCATGGCTTTACAGGACACTTTTTTTGTCAGAGCATTTGGACTGAGAAGGAGAGGCTGTGTGTGTGTCACTATTTGTCAAATAGTCAAATGTTTAGCAGTGGAAACAGACTTATCTAAAGGCTACTTAGCGTCAGTTTCGGTTTCAGTAAAACCTTGAATACTTTTTTTTTTTGAAAACAAGCATGCATTTGATCTTTCCTTTCCTTCTGCAGCACTTCTGTCTCAGCTTCTATCACCACATGTGTACATTTAAAAAGCTGTTTAGAAACCCAGTTATGCAGATACATGAGCAAGACATCAGCTTTCTCCAGGAAAAATCTGGCTCTGGGAATCTCTTATCCCCTACCCAGATTACTGAAACCAGGTTTTTGGTTTACATGACATTTAAAAAGAACATCTGCTTGCTGGAGAAAGGTGACTGCAACCTGGTTACTGAAGCGCCTATAAATGCACTAAGCGACATACCTACTCTGCTCTTTTGCAATAAGTTAAAAATGTGGTTAGATCGAGCAATGCAAATTATCTACATGGTAACACTGTTACCCTAGAGAAGGCTGCTTGGAACAACTTTCTCTAAATAGATGACAAGTTGTCAAACACACATTTTTGGTTGCTTTTGTTTGGTGAGGAGACCTCGTGGTTATGGATGAGTCAGAAGCACATAACAGAGGTGGTAAATGTAGAGTCTGTTGCCGATCACGATTGTGCACTTTAAACAAAATTTGGTTTGGTCCCAGGCGCAAAACGGCACATTTGTGTTCAATAATTGTGCTTAAACTGCCAGTGTGTGCCTGTGTGTCTCATTTATTACCCTCCTAAGAAAGCAATACGTGACTAAGACTATTCTGTTAAAAGTCATCAAGAGACATCTGTATAATTACATGAAATGGCAGCTGTTCTTATCTCTGACCTTTTTGGCCCATGTTGCATCTCTAGTATACTGCACCCTTTGGAAAGGTTTACACTATCACTCACAATTAAGTTGTATATTGACATTTCCAGTCTAAAATTTACTTTTTCCATATAAAAGGTTACTGTCACTATGTGATTGTTTGTTCTGTCTATATCAGATTATGTGTTCTGTGCATTTCCAATTTATTCATTCATCCATTTTCATTTTAATCATCTGGATGTATTTTAAACTTCTCTGTACAGCATTAGTTAAATTATTTTTTAAGCAATATATTAAATAGCAACACAACAATATTCAACATTTGCACAAACTCCCATATTTATTTTCAGGTTCTCATTCCATATGAATGGAGACCTCAAACAATGCACACAGCAAATCAGGCATTTTCCACCAGGCCAGCAAGAAATCAATACACATACTGACGTCTCCTCCTCCGCACTAATTACAGCTTACTGCCCATACAATTTACTATTACAGTGACGGCAGAGTTCGGTCCTCTGATGACAGAGGAAGGAGAGGAGGAAAATCATTACTCTCCAAGATCCTTTCAATATCTCAGCCTAAACTAGCCACTGCTAAAGGTCAGCTCAATTAATGTGCAGTAATTGGACAGCAGCAATGTGCATTGCAGTCAAATGATAGTGCTTGCAGATTCTTGAACAAAGTTTTAATCTTAGTTGACTCTTAATAAATAGGGAAGTAGACTTTCAGAATGCTTTAACAAGCAAAACTATAAAAGCACTGAATTTAGGCTCTGCTTGTGTAATAAAGGAGTTGAAATGTGTCAACTTGAATGGGCACAGAATATTTTATTTTCTCCAATACACAACTGAATTTCATAAGAAAAGTTCTAGTTTAAAACTTTTTACAGTTCCAGTCAGTGGTGGGAAAAAAAAAAACCTTTGGTGTATCTCCTGATAAATTATTGCCACACATAAAAACTATCATTGATATTTAGAGAAATGTCAGCCTGGTGCAGTGATGAAAGATTGGGCCGACGGGAGCTCTGACAATACTGAAAATGTGAGGCGGAAGGCCTGGGGACTGCACCCTGAAAGATAAGTAGGACCAGCCCTGTCAGGGAACAGACTATAAATAATTGGCTCTTTTTATAGTGATTCGTCGCTAGTGTTGAGCTCAGGCTCAAGGTGGATAGACATGGGCTTAAGCACTGCAGCATGGAGAGCATCCTAATGCTTCACGCCGACTATGAGACGATTCGTCTAAAGCCATGTCCCATTTCCTGAACGTAATTTAAACCCTGATACAGCATCAGTAAGCATGCTGGAAGAGGAGTTAATGTCACGGGTAAGCAAATTACAAGATGAAGTTCGCTTATGGATCACAAAACCTGAATGTTCTCATTCACACTCTGTCTCAACCACATCTGACAAACAAATAAGCAATTGCTATATGGTTGAAACTACTCTGGCTCTAGAGGTTGAAATCAACCAGAAACTAAAAAAAACAAGAGAAAGAGAGCAAGAAAGATGAAGTGCAGAAGAGAGAGAAAAGACTGTGAAATCAGGAAAGATGAACTAACCAGAAACTGAAAATATATTTCTTCTATATTTCATTACAATAAATTAAAAATAGTAGCAGATAAAACTCAGCAACATTAAAAACGAATGACGAGATGACACACTTTCGAAATGTCACAGAGAGAGTGATACATTTGGCAAGGCGTCTTGCAAATATCAGGCATGTTTCATTACGACAGAACTCACTCATGACAGAGTTCAAAGAAAGGAAAACAGTCAAAAAGAGCCAGTTCTCAACTCTGACCTGAACCAGTCCTGTCTATAAAAGGGTGCTGGCTCTTAGATAAGACTTATTTTCTGTTGTTTTTTCCATATTAGTTAATGTTCCAATACCGTTTATGGTGGAAAACATGTACTACGGATTCAAGGGCAGCACTGAAGACAGGCTGTTGCATGTAATTTGCATTTCTTAACACTTCTCCCATCTTTCTAAATTTAAATAAACTGAATTAAAATCCACATACAAGAGTAATAACATTTTGTTTCCATGTCCTCTAAACTAAGTTTCCACTGAACATTTTAGTGTAACAATGATGTCAATGTCCTCTTGACTGTGTTTCCACAAATGAAGATGTTTGTAAATCATATCTGCTGCTATGCAAGAGTTAATTACAATGCAAACAAACACCACTGGGCTAATTGCTCAGACAGTGGTGGTGTTGTATCTGGTGGAGTTCGACTCAAATTCACTTACATCTATTAGGAGTCTGTTCACACCAGAAAAACAACAGCATCGGTTGTTTATCCAATGACTTTTATCTGTTATTTCTGGAACAGTCATATGCATCATTTTCTATTTTATCATTCAGGTATGAGGACTTGTTTAGAAGATATGGATGGACCTTTGTGTAATCCACTGGTTATCAGCTCAACTCAGGAAGTGTTGCATAGATATAATCCCTCTAGTAAAAACACGGTTTTGATCTGGAAGAAAAACTACAGTGACATCAAATATATAAAAAAGACAGATGCAACCGGACAGGAGGTGAAAGACAATCCTGTTTGAGGATAAAAGTCTTCTATGCTTGACAGATTAAGGAAAATGACACTGGAAAACAAAAGCAGCTTTTCAGTTTACAAGCTCTCGGTGTCCCGCCTCAGGAAATTGAAAAGTGCCTGAAATAGCAGGCAGTGACTTGTTGAGACTTTAGATTTTTATATGATGGCAACATTATTTTGAAAGCTTAAATGATCAAACATGGCTGTATGTATGCAAGGCAGAGGAAGGAACAAAGACAGCCTTTGGCATATTTCTTTTTTTTGTTTTTTTTATATCAAATCAAGTTCCCCTTTTGCATCCAAACGCCCATCATCCAGTTGCAACATTTAATTTTTCTAAGAAAATATATAATCAACAACAAAATCTACTGTATCATTACACAGTACAGTAGCTCTGTATATTGTATTTTCTTGAAATAAACTTACGATGACAGCAATTTGTTTTGTTTTGTAATGAAACAACACCTACACACTGTCAAGGTTTCTGTGTTAAAATAATGTTGAATTAAAAGAACTTTACTATAGACACCATACCTAACAACTTATCACTGATCTGTGACATTGTCTCTTGATATTAAATGCCGAGATGTGTGAACATATCAAGATGAGCAGTATGAGCGTGTAAAATATGTTGGTTATATACTGTAGCTATTTGGAAACATATTACATAGCTGGTATATGATGCTGAAACAGTTTACTAACTGATTAAAATAAATTCATCTATTTTGTTGATTGATTCACCTTTTAAGTTATTTTTGCAGAGGGAAAAAAAAATATTCACTTATTCCAGCTTCTACTTGTCTTTGCGTTATGTAATTGTGCCATTATTGAGTTTTTAACTGCTGGTCGGACAAAACAAGACATTAGTTAAGCTCTGCAATGAATAATCAGTTGAGAAAAATAATTGTTAGATTAATCAATAATAAAAAAGAGTCAATAGATGCAACCCTAGTTGTATACTTAATTAATAATTTTCAAAAATAATTGTCACAGCATCAAATATAGGCATTATATTATATTATATTATATATACATATACACGAATAACTAAATACGAAAATGGTCCACTTACAGTATGCTAACAATAACAAACTGCTGGCAAGTCACGTCTGACTTAGCTTAATGCTCTCTGACTGACAAATCCTACATGATAGTGCTGACAGCTCTACTCCGTAGCTGCTTGGGCAAACATCGGCTCCACAAACTGACAGGATGAATTCCTGAGGTCCCAAAGTGCTCACATGTCCAATAACAGCAACTTTTTCGCTGCTTCTGCAGATCATCAAAGGCTTTAGACTTTGATTGTGAGCTTTCGCTTTTGAGCAGTGATGGACTGTAACATATGAGGGATCTCTGGGTGCCCTGATGGTTGCTTCATCATATGCAGCAAGTGATCCTCCGGCTTAAAACTATGGGTATTAATTCTGTCTGACTTCTTTTTAAACATATGCAAATATTTGGATGTCTTTATCCTCCAAATCCCCCCCAGTAACAAGGCTGGGAAAATCCTAGCAGGCACCTAATACTGCAATTGTTTGTTAATGATGAGAAAGAGTGCTCTCAAAAAGAGTCTCATGAAATCAAATCTCATCAACAGCAAAATAACAGTGTAACCTTGTTAAATGTACTTCAAGTCAAACTAGCAGCTCATCTCTGTCCTGGTCCCCGGTGCAGAATGTACAACATTTACAACATGTCAAAACTGCTGCAGCAGTGAGCATAGGGACGGGTGAATGGAGCTGTTTTTCTTCTCCGGCTGTACTGTGGCGTAAAAATCACAAGCAGTCATCACAGCAATAAAAGCTGAGTGCTCGTGAGCCACCCTTGGGGAGCTATTGGAGCAGAAGCCTGGTGTATGCGTGAGGTGCAGGTGTTGCAGCCCTAACTAAACTCCTGACATTTTCACTGCTCTCCTCCACGGGTGAAGTAAGGTAGGGGTTTGAGATGGCCTGTAAATTATCAGCTTATGCTGAAGCTGTGAGGCATGTTGTTCCTGTGGAGCTGGGGTGGTGTGTGTCTGTGTGTGTGTCTCTGTGTGTGTGCATATGTATTGTGGGAGTCTGTTGTGGTTCTGAGCATGTTTATGATACTGTGTAGGCATCAGGGTGAATGCCTACATAAAAATAACGTGAATCTTTATCCACAACCAGTATGTGAGTAAAGTTACTATAAATATCTTTTTCAACCTGTTGCAATACTCACATTCTAGTACAATTATACATTTTGTCATCAAAAGACACTATTCAAAGTGTTAGTGAACAACATAAACCAACCAGTCTAGCGTACTGAGAAACTAATTAATCGGTTGACCGATTAATTGGCCACACATTTCGCTTTTTGAGATAACCGCCATCGGCCGATGACTGCACTCACGAGGCCCATAAACAAAAAATGTCTGCAGGCAGCATCGTCAGTGTGGCTGTGGTGGAGCGCTGTTAGCACTGGCCCTTGTGAGTTTTGGGAAGGTGGTGAAAAGCTTGCCCTGTACTGTAACTCTCATCCATCCTGCTGTTAACATTTGCCTAAATTCCCTCAGTCACCATCGTCATTTCTAAATGTTAATATGTTTCTCCCATCCTAAATGACAGAATCTAATTGAAAACCATTACTGGATAGCTTTAAATATATATTATATTATAGTGTATATAATAATAGGGTTGAATGAGGTACTTTCCAACAAACTGTTACCACTCTCTCCTTTAAAATGTCAGTCATGTTCTGAAATCTAAGCTCAATGTATTTTTTTTTGTTTCAGAAATTAATAAAAAGATCCATCAACAAAAACACCTAAAACATCATGTTACTGCTAAAAATGACCAAGTATATTAGATTGTAATGTGTATGGAAATAATAATATATTGTCCATCGGTCACCCTGTTCTCCAAATATCAGCACTAACCATTAAAATAAACCTACATCCGTCGAGCAGTACCAGTGTGTCACCAAAATATGTTAACACTCCCTCCCAGGCATAATGTGCTAAATCTGGAATACAAAGATAATTACAAATATCAAAGCCGACACCGATCTGAGTCGTTACCTTTAACATTCAGGATGCAGCTTCTGAGACTGTGTAACATGGCAATAAGTCAAGGTTGTAAGAAGGTAGGTGAGGTTAACGGGACCTGCCTGCACATATATACATAAATACATATAGTAACCAGGACAAGTTCACCACTGTAATTTAATAAATGTTGTGTAGAATCTGCAGTTACCTGTTTCAGCCTGGCCACTGTGCCTGCAGACCCTCTCTGTCTCTCTCCGACTGCAGCTGGAAACATAGAGCTGCAGCCACAGCGAGCAGAGAGGTCTGCATATTCATGAAGCAGCACTGGGGACTCACTTCAAGGAAAACTGCCGGTCGTACCGTTACAAATGTCTTCCCGACAGCCACTTGATTGTTGTTAGGGTCGTTACAAATGAAGTAGGTAAATGAGTCTTAACAGTCACACAATCTAGTGACACCAAGGCTGCAACTAACAGTTATTTTAATTATAAATCAATCGTCAGAATATCTTCTTGATTAGTTGATTAATCGTTGAAATGCAGCAAAACAGAGGAAAGTTACACTTTACTAAAGGCCAAAAATGTGTTCCCTGTCTGTCTTGTTTTTTTTACCCAACATCCCTGAATGCAATGTTTCTTATGTTCACTAAAACATAAGAAAGAAAACCAACTGAAACTGGAACCAGAGGATATTTGGTTGAAAAAAAATAAGAAAACAAAACTTGAAATAATTAAACAAACGATTAGCCAATTACAAAAATAGCCACCTTTGTTCATGCACTGTTCCTTAAAAGAATGGCAGATCGGCTAACAAACCTGCTTCAACACAACAGACCAAGAAGTATGCTTGAGCCACTGCTCAATAATAAAGCTTTGTTTAGAGGCAGCCGAGAAGTGAGTAAACTGCTTTGAAGTTAATGCGCCTGTGTGTTTTATCTCTAGTAGGAGGATTAAGCAGGTCATTATGAAAAAGCTTATAACTGAGCCCTACTGAGGGATTAAGCAAACTCCTAATCAAATGGAGGCAAGAAAAAAATAAATATATAAACAAGACCCTTACACATCATTTTAGAGGCAGGTCATGCTAGCTGCTTGTCCTACAACCTCCTAGAAATCTCAGAAACAGGGAGTGGCAAAGGATCCTAACAGGTAAGAAAGAAAGGATCTAAAGTGAAGTAACATATCAGGCTATGGTAGGATTTAGAGCACAAGTGCTGCAACAAGAAACTCTGGCAGTTAAGGGGGAAATGACACCGTGCACCGATTGTGGATTTGGGGTTTAATAGTCCTTGCATGCTAACTGTTTTGTCTCAAATTAAATAAATGAACCTCATTACCATTACTTTCTATAGGCACAAAGTGTTTTGGCAGTTGTATTTTTGTTGTGTTTGAGTGTTGAAGTGGAATCAACAATCTGTGCTAAGGAAATTACTAAATCACTGACAAACTAATCTTAAGGCTAACGTTCAACAATATGTCTAATCTATGTCAACAATATGAGCTTTCTTGAAGCAAAATTACATTTCCAAAATTAATACATTTGTCAACTTGCTATCTATGATTGTTTTTAGGCTCAGGCAACATGATCTTGTTGTCAAATATTGGTTTCTTAATGACACTGGATCTCCTGTTTTTGTCAGTTAATGAAGTAGACATGGAGCCTTCAGCCTAATCATTTTGAGTACTATTAAACCTGAGGTTGAGCAAAAACAAAAACAACACAAAATGACTAAATGAGTATCTTCCATTAAGAAGCAGTTATATTTTGTCATATTTTCCTTCTCTTTGCAGGTAGAGTAAAAGTAAGCTCATGGGAAGAATGCCAGGCTTAAAATGTGTCCAAAGTAGCTTTCTGTGTCTTTTTCTGTGTTCTTCGAGCCTGTAAATGCACTGCTTTTGTGCAAATATTGAGCACATTTGTTTTGCTTTTCTGAATCAAACAGCTCCCCAAATTCTTATTCATGAGCTTAATATTTACCAAACAACCAACAAATCCAGCCAAATGTCAGCAATAGCTCTGCTGAAATATATGTGAACATCCCTGATGTTCAACTGAAACGACATAATCAAACAAACTGTACAACTCTCTATATGCATAAAAGAGGCTTATGCAACACACATTACTGTACGCTAAATGGCCAGTTGATGATTATTTCACACTGCCCATGTGACGTAACTCAAATATTCGCCATGGTATGAAGTGGTGAGCCATTATTCAGAGATTATAACAGTGCTGTGTGGGGGTGTGTGTCAGTGTCTCAAGTCCAGCAGTCTCTCTTCATGCAGACACACAATTACCCGGTTATACAAGCTAATGAACCCACGGTTAGTTCAAAGAGCTCCATCTTTCCTTATGCTATCAAAGACGATTCAGTGCTGACGAGATGAGGAGAAACGCAGGGCTTAGGGGGACTTGTAACAGCTATGCTTAATCATTTCATCACACAAGCAAGACTGGGCCATTCTTCACAGTGGATATAGGATTTAATTTGTCCACGTAATGAAGTCTAGCACAAATTGGCATGCAAATAACCTTACTGTTTCACGTACAGTAAGGTTATTTCACAAAACAAAAACACCTGTTGTTTCTCGGTCGTAACGGGGGGTTGTGCATGAGCGAGATATCTACACTACTTGATGTCTAAATAATAACTTCTGTTCTGTGTATGCTAACTGGGAGGTGACGACCCTGAGTGTGAATGTATGTTGCCCTCAATCAAGGACCGCAAGGATATTGATACTGACCTCTAATCCATTTACAAATAAACGGCCAACTGGCTGGACATCCTGTCGACATTCACCACAGAGTCTTTCCACAGCTGGTTCTTCTGTTACTTTGTTTTCTCAGCACCTATACATGACAGACAAGAAAATGGAATTCAATTATGATGCCTTGAAGTTATCTATAAAAAGCAGCATAGAAGGTGCATACAACTAAATTATGTGTGCATGAAATTAAAGAGCATATGCATCAATATCTCTGTAAAGGTGTACACAAACTGTTATATACATATATACAGGTGGCTTGTACAACAATTATACATGTAAAATTGTCATTCCCTGGTTTTGTTCATGTTGTTTTGAGTTTTCAGTGCATCTTTTTCCCAGTATGAAAGATGTGCATCTGTAATAAATGTACATAATATCCCTTTAACTTTGATTTTAACTGTTGGGATTACACAGATTGACATTTGTTACTCAACCACATCAACTTCCATCAGTTTGAAATACCTGTTTATTGCTATTCTGTGTCCCATCAGGGTGGAGCCTGTCAGGTTCAGACAGGTTTATCCTAGTTACAGCTGCTGATGAGTCGATAATCATAAAAAAAGAATTAAATCCTACTTCACTTTCTCCCATGAAATCCTTGAAAAGCCTAAATGTTTCCGGAGGTAAATTATTATTGCTTGCTCCTGCTCGCTAAGCAGCTTTTCAATACAAACTCTGAGGGAAACAAAATTATTAACTGTTGTAATTCTCTTTTTCACTGTGGCTAATTATAGCCTTAAATCAATGCCCAATAGACTTTGACACTGATGCTCTATAAATTTAGACGAGGAAACAAATACATATTTATAATTGCAGCCATGATGAATTGATAGGCTTTCCGACAGCAGGGTCATTAATGTACAACAATCACTCAGTGCAAATCTATCAGTGCAAATATGCAGAGAGTGACATGGATACTTTACTCTGCAATTAATCTCACCAATGTATTCCTTGCCCCTGTTGAAACAGGCTATTAAACTAAAGAAGGTGCTAAATCGCAACGTCAAAGAGAGCATATTGATCTTTTTATGAAATGTGCTTATTGACGAAGCACTTAAATTAGATATTGTAGAAATAAAACCAGCTGGGCTACTCCTGTCATTGTGTGGCCCAATGCAGTTTTACAGTGCTTGAAGAGAAAATAGACCGACAGAACACCAAGAAAAGGACCAGGTGAGATGGACAAAACATCATAAAAACACTTTACTATAAAATGCAACCCAATTAGAAATACATTAAATGAGTCACAGCTTCATTCATTGCCGCTGTAATTAATCCCAAATCAATATCTATAACTTGATATTCTTTGTGTTTTCTCTTCCAACTAGTTTAAAAGACAGATCAGAAGAATATCTCAGTAAAACAAACCTGAGTGCTGATACCAGGTGAAAAAAAAAGATTAACACACTACAGCTTGTCTGCTACAAATAAGCAGAGATACCAGCTGACCAGCCTTTTTATATCAGATTAATTGCACCCCAACCTGACTAAAGAGGCAAAATAATTTATATTCAAAACATGTAGCTACATCCTGTATATCTGATCTACCCTGCATAAGGTCTGTGAGACAAAATAAATTAAATCTTAATGAAATATTTCTGACATAATTGCGCTGTGATGACAGAGGGAAGGTGTGTGTGTGTGTGTGTGTGTGTGTGTGTGTGTGTGTGTGCGTGTGCGTGTGTGTGTGTGTGTGTGTGTGTGGAACCTGCCTTCATCTGAAAGATGGGACATGTTGTACCCAGCCAGGGTGAAAAGGAAGTAGAAATGTCAGCAGTCTTAATCAATATTCCCTGGCTACTGTATAGGCGTACAGATGCTTTTTTTTTTTTTTTGAGGCAGGTGTGCTGCAGGCAGATGGCGAGAAGTAGAAAATGAGAGTAAACGTCAGTCTAGAGCAGCTCATTCTTCCTGGAGCTTGTCCTGTACCACTCTTGCCATCTAGGCATTTTCTAGGCAACATTTCATTCCAGATATTGCCCCTCTTTGAACATCTGGAAGCATCTCAGCTGAGCCACTGCACAGGCACCCACTTATACAGAAGCCACAATCGGGTGGTCAAGAATAGCACATTAATCTAATCAATTAGGATTTTTTTTCCCCCACTAACCCCTGCTCTCTCTTGATTATTCTGATAATTTGCACATATAAAGGAGGTCACATGAATCTGTTAACATCAGAGGAAATTGTTCTATTTTTACAAAACATACACTCAGTTGCCAGTTTATTAGGTACACCTAACTAAAGCTAATGCAGTTTAACAGCCCTGCAGTAAATCATACCTTCACGAAGACTATAAGAGACTAGTTTGTGGTGCTGTTGAATTCTGCTGCATTATACCGACAGGTGTTTATATTATTTTGTCTCCCCCATTTATATCAATGAGGAGGAGGCTACATAACGGAAAATCCTTTTAGTTGAATGCAATACAGTTTAATGGCACCACCAACTACAGTCTCTAAAATGATCATATAGTTGAATTAACAACCGTTTAAACTAAAACTGAACAGGATTTAATGCAGAAGTGTTGTTTTAAGACAGCACTAGCTTTTAAATCAATGTACATAATAAACTGCCAACTGAGTGTGAAATTAGGCAGACTGTTCAGACCATCATCTGGTAACTGCATTGACAATGAGCTGCAGTGCATTAGGATATGTCTGATTTAGCTCAGCAGGTGATTGATTATGAAGTCTGCAGGAGGACACCGTGCATATATGTGAGTATTTTAAAACAAAGTTTAGATGACTCCATTTAGAAATGTCAGTTTACTATATTTGTATTTGTAGAAATGTGTAAAAGATGTTTAAACCCCGTCTTGTTTTATTCATTATGAATAAGTAGGTTTTGCCAAAAAAAAAAAAAAAAAGTGAAAGGAGCTGAAGGACTGTGTTTGAGGTGTCAGATCAGAGACGAGTTCCTTCTGTGGCCGCAGTATAAACAAGCTAATAATCACTACAGCAGGAAACCACTAATTTGCTAACATAATAAATTAAACTGCATTTACAGCAGACTGACGATGAAGAGCTTCTTTTAAAAGAGTTTTTTTAATATTTGAATTTTCATTTGAAGTTTCATTTCTAAAGTTGAAGCTCAACCAGTATGAGTAATAGAAATAATCTCTGAAGGATGTGTAATGAAGAGAAGTGAAAGCCAAGGAGAACTCCAGCTCCTCTTCAAGGTGGCTTAGCATGGGGCTCTCAAAGCTTAGCACTGCGCTGACACCATTTTCATAGCCTTTACATATTGTCCCATTTAATCGACCTTTCTTAAGCAAGGGGTTGACACCTTGCATATGAATCACGAACATCAACTTTATGGCTCTCTCCTGTGAATACATTTTGAACATTAGGTTGAGGATATTTCTTTTACGACGGCTTGACTGAGAATGATATTAGGTCATTAATTATTTTAGTCGCTCCTCATTTGCTGCCATCCTGACACAAGCAGCCATCTATCAGGACTTGTAGCCGGGGTAAAAAAAGAGATGGAGACCCATCTGTTGGGCATTCATAATACATCCATTTTCTCTGGGGAGTCAATGGCTAGCCAAACATTGAATGATCGCACCACTGATGCCACCATGGTGCCAGCCATCATTGACCATCTGATGCTCAGAGCAATATCCAAGAATTCTGAGTCTGCAAAGTGAAGAGCTTGTTTAATTGAGATTTTTGCTTGCAGAGCTGGAGCAAACTGATTAAATGTGATCACTTCTTATTAGGCATTTCATCAACTCTGCTTCTGCTTGTACACACACGTACACGTACACACACGCACACACACACACACACACACACACACACACACACACACACACACACACACACATAAACCAGAGGAATTGTGATACACACTTTCAGATTTAATTCAACAATCAGTTTTAAGGTCATGATTTCAATTAAGATTTAAGCTGTAAATAACTTATTTTTATTATAAAGTAATCATTTTTTCAAACCTTTTTTTCCAGATTAACCGTTTTGAAAACATTACAAAATAGTGAAATAAAATACCATTTTCAATTTCTCCAAGCCAACCAACAATCCAAAACCCAGACTTATTCATTTTACCTTCATATATGACAAAGACAAGTAGAAAATCCTTACTTTTGAGAAGCTGAAACCAGGGGAAATATTGACATTTCTAACAAACAAACACCGAAATGATTCGAATCGTATTAATCAAATGAACTGTCAATCGAATGGTAGATACTGGATAGAAATACCCTGATCTTCTTCCAGGTTCTGTCTACACAGTATTATTAGAAATAAGTGTTCAAAAGACACAAGAAGTCAGTATGCCAAGTCAAAACCAACATAATAATCCCGGTAGTGTGGTCCATTCTGTTATGTGTGTGATACAGAAGTAGATTCAATCTGTCATTGGATGGGACACAAAGGACAAAGTGTCTCTTTTCAGGCTACTTTACATTATGCATGTTTTATATCAAAAGGTTAAATAAAACATGCACTCTCGTGAAGGTAATTGAAACTCTTGCTCATTACATATTCATAATAACCCGTCAAAAACAATACAAATTGGGCAATCTGGGGCACATCTGACGGACTGCAATGAAAGAATACAATATTCCTCCATTAATATTTGTCTAATTAAATCAAAGAAATTTGCATAGAACAAAAGTCAAGACACTGCCAAACAAAGACCTTCACTTCATCCCTCCTTCTTATTGCAGCCAACGTGATTCTTTTACCAGAGTTCAACGAGAAAAAAGCGACAAACCTTGGGCCCCAAGCTAGTCACCGATGCTAGGCGTATTCTCCCAAAGCATGGGCCCCATGCCAACCTCTCCCAACTCTCAAAACATTAGGGTAATTTTCACACTGGATTTAGTGAACAATGAGGGTTTCAGTGGGCCTGCATCACATGCTGAGAGATGCGTTGTGGCTGTCACAAGTGTTCAGGAATATAGACAGTAAATTCTGATGTTATTTAGCAGTGCTTTGCATACATTTAAGGGGCTCTGTCGCTCCCTTTTTTGTGCCTGTAAAGAAATGCTGGCCTGTTGCAGCGACTTAAATCCAGACTGGGTGCAGCTGTTCGCCCACCGTTTGCTCTCTTCTT